GGGGCGGGGGGCAGCGCGCGGCGGCCGTTGGCGGCGGTTGGGGCGCCCGCCGCCCTCGCGAGGTGCCGCGAGCCGGGGGAGAAGAAGAGGAAGAAGAAAAGCGGTTAAAACGTGAAAAGTTCGGTGGTGGCAGCGGTCGGGAGCGCGCTTGGCACCGCCGCGGGCGGCGCAGCCTTCCCGAGGCGAGCGCGTGTGCGGCGCAGAGCTGTCCGGCGGTTCGTTTATTGCGGTGCGGAGCGCCAGCCGTTCCCTGCGGCTGTCTTCCCGCCGAGGGCTGCGGCTACGAAACGCAGCCCGMGATGTAGCCGCCGAAACAACCCCTGAGCCTGGAAAGCGCCGAGCAGAGCGTGGGTGCTGCCGTCTTGGGGAGGTCTAGCAGTGTGAACCCGGCTTGTGGCTCACGCGTGTTACATCTAATCTGGATTTGGAGAGTAAACTTCGCAAAACGAACACTTCGTAGCTGTGGTTATAGCTTTTCAGAGCATGCTTTGCCTGACTGGTAAGCAGTCTTTCAATACARCTTTGAATGGTGTTATTTTTTATTTGAGGATTACTGTTCGAGCAATGGTACTCTTAAACAGTTGAGCTTTTAAAACATTCATGCAGTTCATGTAGCATCTCCGTTACGTGGAAGTGACAAGAGGAGTCTGGTAGCCACTTGTGGTCAAGTGGGAAAAATAATGGTTAGGAAGTCTTTTTTTTTTTTTTTTCCCCTGGTGTTTTTTGTATTCCAGTTACGTTTGAAGCTGTCATATTAACAGCAGGTGATAAATGGGAGTGTGAGCAGCTGGCAAGTGACCAGATCTCCAGGATCCACCATTGAGAGCTCCGTGGTGGCGTGATCAGAAAGACTGCGTCTACAACCGCACTGATTGTCTTGAGGCAGAGGAAACTCTTTTTTTCCTCCCTTAGAGTATAACAAAATGTCAGTACAGTTTAAGGATGATGTTGCTTGGATTGATGTACAGAAAAATTGCTTTGGAAACATCTCTGCTGGTACCCTGCCTATGGGAAGTCTCACAGTTACGTAAGCAGGAGGTAGTGGGGAAGAGTATGTGGTAAAACTGAAGTTCTGACCTTGAAATATTTAATGTTGTAGAGCTAGCTGCCATATAATATGGTACATTTTTTTTGGATATAAAATTGTTTCCCTATTTTGCTTGAGGTTTAGCTGACAGAGTTGATGCTCTGGTTTTCTAATTTGTGTTCTTACTGCAGTTTGTGTAGTACCTTGTTGGTCAACTGGTATTAAATATTCAACTGGTATTAAATATTGTTATAGTAATGTTCAAAATCTTAAAAAAAAAATGTGATTGCTTTTGAGCACGTTACAGCTGTAAATACAAGCGACTTTCACACTAACTTGCAGCTGAGTAGATACGCAAATTTAAGCTTTGGCTCTAATGTCCTGCATCAGGTTATTCTTAYTGCTTGATTGTACATTACTTAAGGAAATTCAGTAAGAGACCTGTAAAATATATTTCCTCAAACTTTGTGTGTATTGCTACTTAAAATGTGTGATTTTTTTTTTCGTATGTTTTCCCCTGCAGCTAATTTTCTTGCTGCATCCAGATTCTGTGCTCTCATGAGGTATAGGTATTGTTTTCTGGAATAGCTAGAGTTCTGCACAGACCTTGGAGTGTGTTTCCCTTGCAAAACCAAGCACATCTGGCTGCTAGGGTGGAATTCCTAGATGCTGGAAGGAATGCATGCTCAGTGCTGTCTAAAAGTAGCATATATATAAAATGATAACATATCTTTCCTGAAGAGGAGAGAATGTGAAGCAGGCTAAAGCAAATGTGGATAGCTCATTCTGCCCTTTGCACATGGGTGTCCTTTTCTCATAAATTTCGTATTTTTGATATTTAAATAGGTTTGTGAGCAGAGGGTAAGCCATGTCTGCTCCCTTTGCTGTTGCAGTCAATCCATAACACGGTGGGTATAAGGGTAAAAATTGGGCCTTCAGTAGTTATCCCTTGGCACRATGGAGAAATTGCACTTGTCATTAACTGTCCATGACTGCAGCTGGCTTTGTTATTGGCCTGGGTGCATCTGCCTCAAGTAAGGCTGGATGAAATGCAGAACGTTTGCATGTTTTAAGACAGCCTTTTGAGATACCATTTTGTACTGTAATGTTTTTGAAGGGTAAATATAGAACAAAATACAGCATAGAGACTAGTACAGTGCTTCAAGGAATCTACAGAAGGCTAACCAACTTCTTGACCCCTGCATCTGCTGAGAATTTAAGTTTTTTATTTATTCAGGTTTTGAAGGAATAGCCTTAGGCATCCAATCTTAATGCACGYTACTTCCAGAGATTAAAATCTTAATTGTAGAGGACTATGCTGTTAGTATTCTCTAAAACATAAGAAATGCATAGAAAATTGGCCAGGAGACTTCTGAGATTTTTCTAACATTCAGAAAGAGATTAAAAAAAAAATCCTGTTTCAAGTTGTCAAGACTTAAGAGAGCAATGTATAAATACGTAACACAAGAACTGCTAAATGTGAAGTGATTTGTTCTTGTAGGTTACGAATGTTTTCATTATATTTAATAATCTTGGTAATTTTTCAAATACTTTTAATTTGTAGTTTGACTTAATTTAAATTCAAGCCCCTCAATATTTATTAGCATTCCAATATGATTTGATGAATGATTTTCTTTGACTCCAGTTTGCATTTTGGTATATGACAGTGTTTCGCTGATACAATTTGTGTGGCTCATTTTGAAGACTTCTTTTAAGGTCTAAGTTTCCTATGGTTTGATGATACCTTGATTTAATGGCAGATATATATAACCAGTTTCAAAAGTTTTCTAGTTGAGTTTACGACTCATCAGTGCAGAGGTCATGGTGAGATATGAGGTACATGTGCGCAGCTTATGATGCCTAAGTGGACAGATGCTTCATTAGCAGCAGGTGAAGCCTGTAAAAGGGAGCCAGCCAARTCGTTCTGCACGTTGCTGTCTCTTCTCAGAGAGTGCGGGGACGTGAAGCTGCCGCCACTGCTGGGGAGCACCGCGCGGCCCTGCCGCTGCCTGTCCCGCGTGGGCAGCGGTGCCGCAYGCAGCGCCCGCGGCAGCGCCCGCGGCACAGCAGCCCTGCTGCCTCCCGCCCCTCGAGCGCGAGGCAGCGGCGCGGAGTCGCAGCAAAGGCTGCCTGCAGCTTGTCCTCTTCTTTGTGGTATTGCGGCATGGGCAGGGACCTTGGGAATTTAATTTTTGTAAGGGCCAGCTGAAGCTGTGGGAGGAGGGGGGCTGGCTTGACTTACTGAGCCTCAGTGAGCACACGGCCTGTTTATTTTCAACAGGTTTATAGACAAAGAGTAACCAGTGCATGAATAGTGGTGATGATAACTTGGAATTACTTGCATGTGTTTCTTCTTTGTCATTCCTCACAATGGAAGAAGATCTCACAAGGGGATATATATATATATATATATATATATATATATATACACACACAGACATATATATATGTCTGTGTGTGTGTATGTACATGAATATATGTGTGGGGGAAGGTCAGGAGCTGCATCACAACTATTTAGACAGCAACAACAAGTTTTGCAAGCCTTCTTGCCTGTTTTATTCAGGCTTGTTTAAATATTCCCTTTTGTATATGCTGAATATTCAGCACAAATTTGTGCAACTAAATTATTTGAGGTAGGGAGGGCAATATTATCTCCTACTTTTAGTAAACATCTTCAAAAGTAACTTTCTTGCTTTAGCATTTTTTTTTTTTTTTTTTTTTGTCTTTGGAATAGGACAGAAAATCTGGGTCCAGTACCAAGTACTGTACTGGGTCCAGTACTTGCTGTGTTTTTTCCATCTACTTTCTTCCTGTTTTTCTGAATCCTTTCTAGGATAAACTTAATATTGTGAGGGAACTGAAAGGTGTCTGCGACTGTTATTTCCTTGCAGTTGGGCACCTGAAGAGTGAGGCAAGTTTTAAGACTAGCTGGATGCAGCTGTTTCTTTTTTTTTTTTTTCTTTTTTTTTAAGGAGAGATTGCAGAGGGATTATGCTTGATACAGCGTAGTGTGTGCATGGTTCCTGCTGACTCTATTTAAAGAGTTGAAATAGGACAAATCACTGTTTTCCTAGGAAGTGAGCATGGTCTGAGTGTGTTTCTGAATTTCTCTGGAGCGTTCCTACATACAGAAATACATACATGCAAACTTCTTCCCACCACAGCACCTTGTGGAGCCACCCTCATTAGGACATGCTTAACACCTTGGGGCTGTGATCTTGAGTGTCTGCTTTCTGAGTTATCTGATCTATCTCCTGATGGGATAAATAGTTCACATTCCTTTGGAGCTGACTGCAACATTGTTAATGGAATTATCATAATGTATTTTCTTGGGGGTCTTGATTTTAGTATTCCATATGCAGTAGTTGCTTTCAGTAGAATCTTAAGTTTGTGCAGTAAGGAATGCCAGATTCTGATCTCTCTGATTAAAAAGAAAAAATCAGACTAATTTTTATATAGGATACTTTGAGTTTATGCAAGTTCATCCTGAAATGSTAAAATATTTAACATTTTCTTTTAACTGCTCTTCTGTTTATTTAGAGAGAGCATCTTCTTCAGGGACAAGAAGCTCTTTAGATATCTTGTGTGCAGACTGATCTTAAAAGATTTCTTCGTGTTTGTTAGAATAGCGTTATAYGCAGCTGTAGTATGAATAATGGCTTTGAATTGATAGTTCTCTCCCATGTATGATGTACTTTCTGTGTTGCTCCCCAGTGATACGTTGTAATCTAAAAGCAAGTAAGACATTGCATTGGAGGTAGATATTCTAATTAAATTATTTGATTCTACGCCTGCAGCTACACAAATCAGGTGAAATTTTATCTAAGATAACAAAGCAATCTTGTCTTCAGGCGAAAGAGATGAATTTCTCTAGAGGAAGTTTAAGTTCTCTTTCTTCTCTAGGTAATATGATATCCCTTTTTAGCTCAGGATTAAGCCTTGAGCCTGTCATTATCTCTAGCATGCATTAGTTCAGGGAGTATCTGAAGTTTATAAAACCTGCAAGAGAGTAGCACTGTTTTGATGAGGTACGTTAATGAAGTGTATACCATTATTTATATAATGTATGGACCCTGTCGTGGATCGACATGGGGAAGTTCAGGGCAACGAGTGCAGTCCCAAGGGGAGCTTTTTAAAAGATTTCAAGATGAATAGTATGTTAAAGTGAATTTTGTATGTRGAGGAATGCCAAAGGGCATCAGAGCTTTTAAGTTTGGAGAAATATGTTAGTGACACAGTCATATATTAAGGATTCAGAGATTGAGAGGGCAGCTAGCACATTTGCTGGCATTTTTGATATTAAATCTTTTGCATACAATGTACAGTGCATACAGTGGGGTGCTTGAAAGAGGCAGGCAGTTCTGTGTAAAGCCCATATATATATACATAGGCTTTAATCATAAAATGAGCAGCATAATAATTACCTGCTGAATATTTTCTGTGTGTTGCAAGTAATATTTTTCCTGCCTTGT